CAGTCTTCCCACTAGATTATAAAAAGTCATGTCTACCTTGGTCAACCTTAAGAAGACTTGAACGGTGGACATATTCCGCCTTCCTAGGTGAAAAAGTTTGATTTTGCAAAGAGAAACCTTCCCAGTTAACCTATACATTTTTAATGTGGTTCCAATAAAAAGTCCAATGGGATGAATGATTTTGTAATGTGATCCTAGATTTAAATTGTAACTGCACTAGTAAATATGAGAATATTCAAGCCGATATTTTAATGAAGAATACTATTTTATGACGTACAGCTGCCGTAATGAAACAGATGACGCACGTCAGATCACAATATGAAATTCAGAAACAAATTTAGGTACATATCATAATTTAGTTACTATAACGGCATTTAAACACCAAATACATGGTGGCAAAATAGTTCACTAATCATTTGGAGCACAGCCCGGGCGGACGCCTCTGCTGTGTTCCCACCGTCAGGCGACAGAACACGCAGGGAGTCACCCGGGTTGCCCCACTAGTTTTCCCACTGATCCTGAAGCTGGCTGAGAGCAGGGACCAGCTAGAGTTCAACTCCCTGTCCCCATCGTTCCATATGCCTTCCACAGAGGATGCACTAAATTCTCGCCGAAGGAATAAATGACATTTTAACCTCTTCATGGCATCGTTTGGGCCCGGGAGGCACACATCTCTTAGATAGCTGCCCTTTATGGCAGGTCACAAGTGATGCATGTCTGAGCTGAGAAGTCGACGTCCCACTTCTCCTTCGTTTTCTTGGCCATCCCTGAAGCCCTGCTAGGTCTATGTTAGAATCCTAATGAAACTTTTGCTTTTGCTCACTCAATAAGCACAAATAATAATAATGTAAATATTTACAACCTATAAAGGGTCCACATTTTCCTGGACCTTATGGATATATTATAGAAGCATATGTATAATATAATCTTAGTGGAGATTTTGAATAGAAGAGGTAGAGAAAACAAGAATTTGCCTAGTAATTTACATTGTTATTTTTTTCTTATGTGACCAGTGAGCAAACTAAGCCTGATTGATAAAAACGAGATGAGGTGACAGATCTCAGGGTTGTAAATGAAAACACTGCGATTCAAACTCAAGTGACTGAAGTAAGTTTCTTTTTCAGCTGAAGCACTGCTGCTAGAAAAAATCAGCCATTACTGATCCATGTCTTAGTCTGTTTGGGCTGCTATAACGAGAATGCCTTAGACTGGGTAATTTATAAGGAAGAGAAATTTACTTCCCACAGTTCTGGAGGCTGGGAAGTCTAACATCAAGGTGCTCGCAGGTTGGTGTTTAGTGAGGGCTGCTCTCTCCTTCCAATACAGCACCTACCTTCTCACTGTGTCCTCGCATGGCAGAAGAAATGGAAGAGTAAACTCACTTCCTCAAGCCCTTTTTAAAGGGAGTTAAACTCATCTGCGGGGCAGAGCCCTATGACCTAATTACCTTCCAGAAGCTTCACCTCTTCATACCATAACTTTCGGGTTTACGAAATTTGAATTTGAAATACGAATTTTGGAGGGATACCAACTTTCAGGCTGTAATGAACTATGTTAACAAAGGAATAACAGCGTATTTGAAATAATGTAATTATCACTTTCAGCAGCCATTAGCCCCAATACTTACTACAAATGCGATTAGAAGTTTGAAACCTCTGGCATTTGGCCTTGCTTTATGTAAGTTTTCTACTTGACAATATTTGAGAAAAATAAGATACCTTCTGTCTCACATAAAACACATTTTATATGAGTTTAAGAAATCAACCACACATAGCTGAGAAAAGACTAACATTACCAAAATGTTTAAATGATTTGTTTTTTGTAATTACATAAGTAATATATCTTCAGTTTAGAAAATATTAAAAAGATAAAGATAAGAAAAGATAACAATAAGTCTCACATAATCCTGCCACCAGTGATAATTGCAGGCAACATTCTGGTACATGTGGAACGAACATATGTTGAATGAAAAAATGAGTTGTCTTCCAGTCTTTGTTCTAAGTGTGTATGTGTATGTTGTTTACACATTGAACTCATATCACGTTAAGTTCTCAGGCTTTTCTTTTTCCGTGTAACATCTCTCAAGTGTAGCAATGTGAATTGCAGCCTACGGCTTAGGAAAGTGAGAAATATAACTTTCCTTTTCTTATCACACTTATTTCTATTTTAGCCCTCATCTGACAGGGCAGCAGCAGATTCATCTGAGTGAAAACATTCTCTTCCTGAAATTTGTCTATTGCTGAGGGTAGTCGAGGCAGCAAGGCCACTGAGGCCCTAGAGCTCCCTCCCCCGGGGTCCAGGGTCTGTCTGGTGTCACTGTGAGTCCCCTTCTCCCTGGGGTTGCAGGCAAAGACCAGGGCACTGGGAAGCTTGGTCCTTTCAGACTTCTCAGGACTCAGGGCAGAGGGTCCTGCTGACGGGACCCGCTGATGTACCCTAGAAAACAATGCTACCGCAGTGAGCTTTCCGTGAAATCTGTCAGAAGTTCCATTATTTGCTATGGTAGATTCAGAAAGTGGAATTACCAAGTCAAAGGGTTAAGGCTCTTGATACACATATGAAGTTGCTCTCCGGAGAACGCCAACTAAAGCTGTGACTGCAGCTGCCTACAGCAGCCTAGCAGGCATGATCATTCATGGTGGCCTTTCTTCAACTCCTCCAATACATTCCACCAAGACGTGATTTTTGTCTGTTCACCTACAGAGGTCCATTTCTTTCAGTTAGAAGGTCAACTGTTATTGACAACTCATTAAATGCAAAGCATGTATCATTGGAAACACTCCAAGCCTCAGTTTTTCATCTTCAAAAGAGGTATTAGGTTGATGCACTTACCTAATTCAGACTTTTGCCATTACTTTGGATGGCAAAAACTGCAATTACTTTTGCACCAAAATTACTTTTGTGACCGCCCCGCCTGCCCACATCACGCTCACAGGGGAGTTCAGGACGCGGCATGTTCTAACTGATGAGATGAACCTGCTGTTGCCCTGTCGGATGAGGGCTAAAGTAAAACAGATCCGGACTCCCCTGCAAAAAAGAGGGCAGAGGCCGCTGGCAGGGACACAGACAACCGCTGATTCTCTCTACAAAACTTGGTCACTGGGAAAGGTGGGGGCTATGGAAACCCACAGAATGTTTGTGCAGAGCACTCTTGAAGTCCACCTAATCCGAGCCTTCCTGTTACAGAGGAAGAAACAGCAGAGCGGCAAGGTGACCATGAGTCGGGGTGCAGCCTGGCCTGGACCACTCTCCTCATCGAGGCCTGGATTCTTTCCATCCACCCTCACAGCGGCTTGACCTCAGCCTCCAGGAGCGCTGTGCTCCCTAATACCAGTCCTCAGACACGGGCCCTGGGTTGCCATATTCACCCCCTCATCCCAGGGGTCACACTGCTCAGGCCACCTAGACCTGCTCCTAGGACAACTGGCCCTCATCCCTGCCCCAGGACAGACAGGAGCTCAGCAGAAAGGCCGCCAGGCTCTTCAGAACTTCTCTCTGCACTGGGCTCAAGTGGCCGTACCCGGCAAGAGCAGGACCGTCTCTGTCTTCGTGTTCATGTTGCAACATTTCCTGCTTTCCATTAGTTGCATCTAAGTGGAGCATTTAACGAATTAAAAGAATTTCCAGCACCACTCCTGGCTTAACCCGGCTTACCTCTTGTTTAACATACTGATTTGGATTTAGGGTGGTTTTTTAAGAAGGCTTGTTCTCAGTGACAGTTCCCTCTGGACCATGTCACCCAGTTTCTTGACCAGCTCTGAAGGACTCTGGAGGCCTAAGCAACTTACACACACACATGCACAAATCATGAGTGCTTCAGTATTTTCAACCTTGGGAAGTTTTGGTGTATGACATTGTGACGTTTATGTTTTGTGGCATGATTTTTTAATAGAGGAGAAAACAAATAGTTTCTGGCTCCCTGTAACAGCACACGCATTGTAACAGCCACTTTCTGAACATTCTGTCATTTTTCCATCCATCCTTATTGTACCCATTTTACTCATACGGAAATCAAGTCATACAGCCAATAAACAGCAAAAACACGACTGAAGTCCAGCTCCAACTCCGGGCCTGCATTCTTTCCTTTGTGTGGCATTGCAGCTTCTAGGGATGTTAGCTGCGGGCCTTTGCCCCCCGCTTTTTTTTTTTTTTTTTTTTTTTAGAGACAGTGTATTGCTGTGTCACCCACGCTGGAGTACAGGGGCACAGTCTCAGCTCACCGCAACCTCTGCCTCCTGGGTTCACGTGATTCTCGTGCCTCAGCCTCTCCAGTTGGGTCCAGAGTTGGTTCCTTCCGGTGGGTTTGTGGGGGTTGCTGGTCTCACTGACTTCAAGAATGGAGCCATGCACCTTCACGGTGAGTGTCATAGCTCTTAAAGATGGCACGGAAGCAAACAGCCAGCTGGAGCAACAGTTATTGTGAAGAGCAAAACAACAAACCTCCCACACTGTGAAAGGTGACCTGGGCAGCTTGCAGCCGCTGGTAGGCGGGGGCGGGGGGGGGTGTGGGTAGCCAGCTTTTATTCCCTTATTTGTCCCCACCCATGTCCTGTTTCTGTCCTATCAGAATGCCCATTTCCCAATCCTCTCCTGTGATTGGCTACTTTTAGAATCCCACTGATTGGCCCATTTTACAGAGTGCTGACAGGTCCATTTTACAGCTTGCTGATTGGTCCATTTTAAAGACTACTGATTGGTGCATTTTACAAACCTCTTGCTAGCTACAGAGCACTGATTGGTGCGTTTTTGCAGAGTGCTTATTGGTGCATTTTACAAACTTCTTTCTAGCTATAGAGTGCTGACTGGTGCATTTTACAATTCTCTTCTAAGAGGAAAGTTCTCCAAGTCCCCACTTGACCCAGGAAGTCCAGCTGGCTTCCTTTCTCACAGTGGCAGGGGTTACAGGTGTGCGCCATCATGCCCAGCTGATTTTTGTATTTTTAGTAGAGATGGGGTTTCACCATGTTGTCCTGACTGGTCTCAAACTCCTGGCCTCATGCAATCCACCCACCTTGGCCTCTCAGAATGCTGGGATTACAGGCGTGAGCCACTGTACCTGACCAGCATTTGCACATTTTAGAGGTGACTGTTCTGGGTGACAAATCCCTCCCCAGGGACCACAACATCAGTTTGACATGTAAAATGGGGAAATGGAACTTAGCCCGTTTAATCGACATTTGCTCACAAGTTGCCTGTTTCACCAGGATGACTGCATGAAGGAACATGGAGTTAGGAGGTTGCTGGGTTCGATCAGCTAATGCTTCTAAATGGAAAGAAGTTTCAATGGGGTGAGAGTCATGGGGTGGTGACATGGACTAAACTAAGCCCCTCCTGGGGGCAAACTAAGCCCCTCCTGGGGGCCAGGATAACTGGGAATGTTTGTCAGTGACAGCACATCTATGACCACGGCCAGGATGGAGGCCCACAGGGAGAGTGGGGAGAACGGACGTGGCGAGGCGTGAAGGCTGACCTCAGAAACTCACTGGATGAGCTGTGGCTCCTTTTGCTGGGAAAGAAAACACAAGCGAGGTAAGTAACCTAAATTATATGTCTAGCCCTACAAATGACCTAAGGCAGACAATTCTACCTGTTATGACTCAGATCCTCTCTCTACAAAATGGGAGAAATAATATTGCACTAAGTAACTTCGTAGAGATGCTAGGAGAACTTCCAGAGAGATTTATTTCTCAACCCATAAACTAATGTTGGTTACACCCAACATACAGTTCTTTAATTCCTCATTTCTTGTGTCTCAGGATTATAGGAAAAAAGCCTTCTGACATAAAACACAGAAATTGCACAGAGCTACCCAAGTTCATTCTAAAATTAAGTTTCGCCTGATCCAGGAACCCTTCTTGGTTGTAGGTTCAAAAAACGAAAGGACTTAGAGATGACTCAGTCCATCAGTCAGGTGTCTAGAGTGTAACCTCCACCCGCGGGGCCAGTGCTCAGGTGGACAGTATTATTCCCTCGGGAGTAACCTCCACCCCCGGGGCCAGTGCTCAGGTGGACAGCATTATTCCCTCGGGGTCTCGTCCGTGGAGGCTGGCCACAGCCCAGAGTCCTCCTCCACCAGCCGTGCCAACTGACTGCAGCTGGCATTTGAGTGGAACCCTACTGGCTGTCCCTGACCCGGTCCAACCCTTTCATTTATAGACAAACAACCAGAAGCCCACAGAGTTTCAATGAGGAAACGGGGATTGTACAGCTAGTAGGAGGCCACTGATAGAATCTAGACCTTATGACTTCCAGCTTCATATCCATATCCCAACATAGTAAGATTCCATCTCCACAAAAGGAATTTTAAAAGAATCAGCCAGGCGTGGCAGCGTGCACCTGTAGTCCTAGTGACTTGGGAAGCTGAGGCGGGAGGATCGCTTGAGCCCAGGAGGTCAAGGCTACAGTGAGCTCTGATCATGGCACTGCCCTCCAGCCTGCGTGACAAAGCAAGTCCCCGTCTCATAAACAAATAAATATAAAGCTAACGAGACCCAGCTGTACTAAGTTACTCATTTTATTTATTTAGTCAATAAATATTATTGAGTACCTACTGTGTACCTGACATTATGCCCAGATAAATGACTGCCCCTACTGCACCCAGCTAGAAAGGGATTTCATAAAACATAGGCCTTTTTCACTCTGCAGGAGCTGGAGCAAAATTCAAGTAAATATATATAAATATAATATATAAAAATAAGAATTTTAAAAATATATAACATAAATATAATTTGTATACATATTATATTATTATAAAAATATGTATATATATAAAATTATGGTATCACTTGGTCCAAGGACTTAGAAATATCTCCGAAAAAGAAGTTGACAAAGTTAATAATAACAGCGAGTGACGCTATCCACCAGGAGCAGACTCGTCTGTGTATTATCTTCAGTTTCCTCTTTGCTCTTCCCTGGGCATTGTGCTGTAGGAACCTATAGTAGAACGTGGCTATCTAATTTCAATGGGAAAACCATCACGGAAGGAAGCTGAGCACATTGCTCCAAATCTTATCGAGGTTTTGGATAGAAGAAAAGATCTAATCATCATAGCTTTTGGTTGCATTTAAATTAGCAACCAGAAATAACCCACTGAAGGTCTCTACATTCTCTTCCCCTGGTTGTGTTACGGGGATAACAGCACCAGGCTGCGGCTGGGAAGACGGGGCGTCGGGTTTGCTACTCCCCAGGCAGCTTGTGACACCAGATGAATCACTCCAATATCGCTGAGTCTCTCTCCTTGTTTTAAAATGCGAATGACTGTGGGCCCTGCCTGCCTGGCAAGGCTGTTATTAGGATTAATAATAATAATAACTCCAAGGCTATTGTGCTTTGCAGTGTTTGCAACACTCTTTCACAACAACCCGTTTATAATTACCCCAATTAGAGATGAGAACCCATGGCTCAGAGGAGTGACGCAACCTGCTGGAGGTGTCCAGCCAGAGAGTGCCGGCATGGGGCAGAGCCTCCCCCTGCACGGGGCGTTCCCTCCGGTTCCTGGGGCTGCACTGCCGAGGCGGGTTGTGGGTGGCTCCTGTGCCTTCCGCAGATGGCCGGGTAGGGATCACGGGCACACAGGGCTGCTCTCGCTCTCTAGGCAACTCCCGGGAGCTTGGAAATATCTGAGTGGCTTTGGCAGGTTTTCTGGGTGCAGAAATTAGGACAGGATGTTTTCAGTGAGAGGTCTCTGCTGCTGTCACGGCGTTGGCCTCTGCTCTGACCGCCTTACTTCTCTACTGTGTTGGTCACTGTCTCCTGTGTGTGTCCTTCATTGTTTTCCTCTAAAAAGCACAGCCCTGACACACACATACATACACACACACAATTGTTACCATCTCCCGGACCCTCTGGGTGTCTGCATCCCGAGCAGTGACTCCATGCTTGCCTGGACGCTCCTCTCCTGTGTGTATGCGGTGCACACATCACCTCGCAGGGGCTGGAGGGCAGGTGGTTGCCACAGCCGCCCACAGGGCGTCTTCTCCGTGCTCGGCTCCATCAGCGGCAGCACGACCCTGAATGCAGAGGCTTGCAGACTTCTCAACATATGTTTATGTGAACGTAAAACAAAAAGCAGTACTCACCCTTATTGCTTGTGGTGTACTTTGAGATTTCCTGGCTGATTCTATTTCACGTAAATGAAATGCTGGTTGCAACCTAATACTTTGATTATTTGACCCTCCGATGAGTGAAGGCCCACAGCTTGGGAAACGCTATGAAGTGGCATTTTTCAAAGGATGATCTCACCTTCTGCCCACCATAGGCAAATCCCCACTGTCCAGGAAGGGAGACTTACCGTGTTCATACATCCCAGGCCGTTCTCTCCACGTCTCCCTGCCACCAAGCCCAGACTCCTACAATCTCCCTCCCCCGAGTGTGGTCCTGTGTACCCCATCTTCCACTGGCCCAGAATGGTTTTCTGAAAATAGAAACCTGCCCCTTTCACATCGTTCTTAAAATCCTTCCATGACCGACTTCCCCAAGTGCCATCACCTCAGGGAGGAAGTCTGGGCTCTCGAGACGGCCGAGGCCCTCTGTGCCTACAGTCTGACCTCCTCGCCATTTCTACACCAACACTGTCCCCACCCACGCTGTCCCCTTTGCATCCTGCCTGCACACAGTGCAACAGGCACTCCACAGTGCGTGCCACCTCCTGTCCCTCCGTTCCTGGGGCTGTCTCTGTTCTTCTCCAGGCTGGCACTGACCCAGCGCGGCACTTAGGCAGGAGAGCACCTCCTCCAGGAAGCAGACATAGGCGCTTCGGGCTGGCCAGGCCCCTGTCGTGCGTGATCCCATGGTACCTGTGTGAACACCTGCCCTGGCACTGCCCCTCCCAGACAAGTGTGGAGGTGGGAGGAGGGGCGGGACCCTGGGCAGGACAGAGGTGGCCACTGCTTGCTCATGGCTACAACATGTTGCTCAGGGAAGTGATTAACAGATAGCATCTTCGGGGAGAAAATAAAACCACAGCCGGAAAGTCTGTCCAACTGAGTCATCCACAGAGCAGGGCTGGCTAGGAGGGAGAGTCCAGGAACAGGGCAAGCTACGGGCCCCAGGGAAGTCCAGGGAACAAAGAAGCTGAACGCAGAGCCTAGACTCCAGATACTCAAAGTGTGGTCCACCGAACAGAACCAGCCAGAGCTCCTTGCAGATGCCCCAGCCCAGATCAGAGAAGCACTGGGCCTGGGAAGTTCCCGAGCCGAAGAGAGCAGCTGCCCCCAGTTGCCCACAGGCAGCGTCCACCCCGAGCACTCACTGGGCTGCGCTGAAGTTTTCTTCTTTCCGTTTTTTTTTTTTTTTTTGAGACAGAGTCTTGCTCTGTCACCCAGGCTGGAGTGCAGTGGCGCAATCTCGGCTCACTGCAGCCTCTGCCTCCTGGGTTCCAGTGATTCTCCTGCCTCAGCCTCCCTGGTAGGTGGGGTTACAGGCGTGCTCCACCATGCCTGGCTAGGTTTTGTATTTCTTTTAGTAGAGACAGGGTTTCACAATGTTGGCCAGGCTAGTCTTGAACTCCTGACCTCAGGTGATCCACCCACCTCGGCTTCCCAAAGTGCTGGGATTACAGGTGTGAGCCATTGCGCCAGGCCCACTTTAATCGTTTTTTAAGTGTACAGTTCACTGGCGTTAAGTACATTTACATTGTTGTGCAGCCATCGTCACCATCCATCTCCAGAACTCTTTTCATCTTACAAAACTGACGCTCCACTCATTAAACAATAACTCTCCATTCCCCCACCTCCAAGCCTCTGGAAACCGCTGTTCTCCTTTCTCGATGACCACTTTCTACTACATTCCATGCACCCACTGCATTTAATACACATACATATGTATCTATGACTGCATTCTACTTCCTTTCTCTTTTGACTACTCCAGGAGCCTCCTATCAGAGGAATCATACAATGTTTGTTCTTTTGTGACTCGCTTATTTAGTATAATGACATTATTTCGTATAATGTCTTCAAGGTGCAGCAGTGTTGTTGCCTATGTCATGATTTCTTTCCTTTTTAAAGCTGAGCACGACTCCACTGTAGGTATATACCACATTTTGTTCATCTAGTCATCGGTTGGACAGTTGAGTTACTTCCACTTCTTGGCTGTTGTGAATAGTGCTGCCATCTATGAACATGGGTTTACAAGTATCTGTTTAAGTTCCTGCTTTCACTTCTGCCCTAGATGTTAGAAAGGCAGCATGCATTACCTGAGATACTAAAAGATGAGATATTACAAAGTGGTATAAAAATATCAAGACACATGGTTCCTGCTGCAATTGCAATTTCTATCATTGAGGATAAACGGGAGAGGGCATCTGAAGAACTAAACAGAACTACGCAAGACGCTCTCGGGTGAAGTGAGATTTTAAAGGGTTGTGCGTACATGAAAGTGATGTGAAGTTGTAAGAATGGATCAAATGGCAAAATCTAAAACTATGGCTATAAACACAAGTGATCATGCCATACAAAGGACAATAAAGAGAGAAGTCTACTAATAGAAAACAAATATGAAGTTATACTGGTTATCTTCTACTTGAATCTGTCATTTATGTTAAGCAGAAACATTTTTAGACTAAAAAGTATAGAAAAAACATAAATAAGAAAAAATGAAATTTTATGTCAGTAAAGTGATTAGTAGAGATTTCACAGAATCTCAGAAGAGGAAGGAGAGCTCGGGGATTCTTAGAAAACTATGCACCGTATCCGCTGAGCGCTTCCTACCTTCCCATTCCCTCAAAACTAGGCACCGTATCCGCTGAGCGCTTCCTACCTTCCCATTCCCTCAACTGGAAAGAACACAAAATACCTAAAAGCCTGGCCATCTAGTTCAGAAGGAACAGGCACTTGGAGGAGAGTTAGGAAGCCACTCACACTGTGTCAGGTTGCAGATGTGAATTAGACAGGAAGGACTGGCAGATCAGCCCTGCAAACTCATTTCGGCAAACAAGAAAAAAGAAGGGGAGTGGAGTGAAGGAAGAGACCAAAAATTAACTCGAGAGAAAACATAACTGGAGAAGCAGAAGTAAATTCCTCACCATTGCTTCACTCCGAAAAAAATCATTTAATAAGAATAGGAAGTCAACAAAATAGTCAAAAGTGAAAACAATATACACAGTAAGAAAAAGAGAGACTGCAGACGTAGGCAACAAACTGGGGATCCAACCCTCACTGTTAATTAACGAACAGAAAAGCAAGGGACAGAACTAGACACTGATGGAAACTGAACTGGCCGCAACGTGGAGAGGTCAGGCGTGATCCTAGAGAAAGCCAGTGAAAAAGACAAGAAAATTAAACTAGAATGACAACATAACCGAGACTGGTGACAAAGACAATCCACATGGGGTAGAGACAGAGAACTCACAGATGGAACCGAGGAGCCATTCAGAGATACAGCACAAGAGAATTTTCCTGAAAAGGAAGAAGAACAGCATCTTTGTATCAAAAGAACATGCCATATTTCAGGAAATTTTGAATCAGAAGGCTCAAGCAAGAGTTAAGCTATTGAATTTCAAGGATAAAGAACAAATTCTCAGCCGGGCGCGGTGGCTCATGCCTGTAATCCCAGCACTTTGGGAGGCTGAGGCAGGTGGATCTCTTGAGGCCGGAAGTTCAAGACCAGCCTGGCCAACATGGTGAAACCCTGTCTCTACCAAAAATACAAAAAGTAGCTGGTCATGGTGGCTCATGCCTGTAATCTCAGCTACTCGGGAGGCTGAGGCAGGAGAATCACTTGAACCTGGAAGGCGGGGGTTGCAGTGTGCCAAGATCATACCATTGTACTCCAGCCTGGGCAACAGAGTGAGACTCCCTCTCTAAATAAATAAATAAATAAAATAATAAAGAACAAAAGAACAAATTCTCAAATTCTCAAGACACCAGGCAGAAAAACCAAAACATCTACAAGGGCAACCAATCAATCAATAAATCTGATCTCCAGTGTCCCTACAGCAGCACTCAGTGCTGGAAGGCAGTGGAGCGGTGCTGGGGGAGTTCTAAGGAAGCTCAGCCTGGGGTACCACAGCAGTCATGCGGGCGGGAAGAAAGGCACCAAGGCAGCCATCTGCAGACACGTCAGGGGACAGGCACTACAATTAAAGGCTGCCAGGACCAAAACCTCACTGTTAATTACAATTAACAGTGGTTAAATCTGGTGGGAATATGGAATATTAGGGGCTTTATCTTTTTTCCTTTATCATTAAAAAAGGAGTTTTAAGGAGATTCTAGTAGAGTTCGTAGCTGCTCTAAAACAGTTAAAATCTCCTCAGATTTCAGCCTGAGGAGTCAGAGGCTGGAATATCTAGTTGAGATAACTGAACCGATACAAATTTTTGGAGAAAGGTCACAGAAAATGAGAAAGGGCTGAAAAGGCCAGATTTTGAAAAACATGGATCTAATTTTCAAAGAGGGAGAAAAAGGATTTTTTCAGCCATATTCTACATACACTATGAGTTGACATTCATCCTGGAAAGATTCTATAACGGATTTTTAATGAGATGTTTTGCAAATACACTTTAAATTGAAAAACAGTCATGCCGATCTAAACCAGTTTTTACTTTTGGTAGGCTTGCTAGAAAAATCAGAGAAATGTGTAGATGCCCTTCATCGGGACTTCAGCCTGGTGCCCTTGAGAACCATGCAGGCCAGGGAATAATGCAGACAGGGGGTTAATGACTGCCTGAAAAGACTGTTCACAGGACCATGGTAGAGGGCTGTTGTCATCGGGAAGGGGACTGGAATGGTGCCCTCTGAGACCCTCAGCTCGTTCCTTTTCAGTTTGGGCAAGAGTTTTGTGGCAGTGGGAGGTGGGTGTGCGGGGCAGTGGGGATGAGAGCCTGGGATGTTGCAGGCACCAGGATAGTTGCTGTAGGCGCGTTGTTGACTCGCTCATTGTGATGAAGCTACACAGAGGTTGTTGTGCTCCTTTGTTACAGATTAGAAAATGGCAGTGAGTTGCAGGTCAAAAAGGAGATGAAGGTGAGATCAGGATGTCAACACAGGAAGGAAGAATGTGCCCTCAGCAGACCCCACAGGGGTGAGTGTGGAGACCCCATCCCTGTTCCAGAGTGGTGTGAGTCAGGGGTATGTGTGCAGTTAAACATACAAGATGCAGTGTGTGCACCAGGCGCCAGTTATTGTGTCCACTGGGAACGTTTGTTTCCAGTGATCAGATGCTCACGACCCCCTTCAGCACTCCTGAGAGGCCAGTGTGCTGCTCCGCTCTGACGCCTGCCTGATTGGTGGCCCGTGTATGGCAGATGCACCTGACAACGATAACTCAAGCACGCCCTGAGAATGACTCCATGGTCTAAGAAGAATGTCTGTTCAGAGTTCTGAGCTAAGCAGCCCAGGAGTGGCCAACCAGGAGGTTCATTTCTTATCCATGAGGAACATCCGAGCCCCTGGCCCATCCTGTGGCAGGTTGCTGGGGCCGGGTGCTAAGTGAAAATGCTACATAAACTGCATGCCTTTTATGAGAGGTAATGGTTCCCCTGTCCCGCCTGCTGCCACTGGACTGTGCCTGAATATAAATTCCCCCAACAAACCCTGTGCCTCATTTGCTGGCTCTGGGTCTCTTCTTGGGCCTCTTGAACGTGGTGCTATCCCTGCTGAAGTCAGTAGGAGCCGAGGATGACAGCTCTATTGGGGTGAGGGCTATTTGATTCAGGCCACAGTGAGGCCTGTTCCAGAAGGTTCTGTTGTCTAGGATACAGTGTTTCTCTCCCTGAAATAGATAGCTTCTGGCTTCCTTTTTCTGTGGTCTGTACTGAACCGTCTGTTCCAGGCATGCATTCACTCTCTGCACAGGTGACTCTCAAGTTGCTTAGGTTTTGCTTCCTAAATTATAATCCCACTGTAGCTCCTCCTTCAGACTCCTAGGGCCAACCCCAGGGGGTGTGGGTTCCCTCTCATTCGAGAACAGCTTACATCTAAACAACACTCCATGTATTACAAGAAGGTCACAGGGTTCCCTACCACGGTTGCCCAAGGTTGCACAGCTTGTAAATGTCACATCCAAAATTTAAATCCAAGTTAATATGACCTTAAAACTATGCTCTTTCTTCTAGGCAATGCTGCATAGACAACAGAGCCAAAAGTGCGGAAGATATACTGAGTAACAAAATTGAATTTTAGAAAATACTGAGATAAATTAGAACATTGTGCTCAGTCTGTCAGCATTCAATTTATTAAAGACAAAATGTAAGTTCTTGGTTTAAGTTCACAAAACAAGCAGTGCAAGTATGGAGCACAGCACGTCAAAGGAAAACTTTTTATTTGTTTTCGGTAAACTCCATTTGAATCAAGACAATGACCGTGCCCCACACTGTCTCCCCTTGACCACTGTGTGTTCAGGCAACCAGGATGATGGAGGGACTGGCTCTTTCTGGTGTCTGAGGAATCTTGGAAGGCCTGGGAACATTTAGCCTGGAGAAGAGGAGAATTCACAGAATGGTGGCTGCTGTCACAAGTCTGAAGAGCGGTCAGCAAGAGGAGGGATTGGTATCAGGACCGGCAGAGGAAGAGACCCACTTCCACCCAGTCTAACAAACAACCTCCTGGAGAAACAGCTACACAGGTGGTCAGGAGCGCAGGCTTCAAAGTGAGACAAACCTGGGCTTACATGCCCCCTCCACCTTCTAACCTCTGAACATGAGTCCCCCCCGCGTGTGAAAGATGAAGATGCAGCAGCTCCCTCAGAGTTCCCAAAGCCTTTGATGAGAGGTGCACTACGGGGGGCTCAGCAAATGCCAGACGAAGTCGGTGCCAGACTGTCAGCTGCTGTGAGCTTATGATCTCCCTTCAGCAGAGCTGCCCAGGAAGCCGTACCTGTTCCAGAAGAGCCTTCCAAAGTTGAGGCTCTCCATTTCCAGTTAAGTTAATTTAGGAAGACTGCACAAGTGAAAACACCACATGTAGCTATTTGCGTTATTAATAAGAACATGTTGACTTCAGTTGTTGACTGCCAGGTGGATTTTTGCCTCATAAATATTTTTGAATGGATTATAACTGAAATCTTGGGGTTCAGTCAGAAGACAACCATCTACATTTTTTCTGTATTTCTTCTGGGGGCATGATTTGATCCAGGGTGTGGCCAAATCTACGTCACTGAATCGTTCTACCGAGCTCCCCGGCTGTTACTGGGGATGTTAATTCAACATTTTCATGGTTTTCCGTTTTTATGGTCATTTGTGTAAAATGGGGCCCAAGTGTTTGTCTTTTCCACTTGAAAAACTCATCATTGGTTCGTGGTAACTAAGTCATTTATGCTTCAAAGAATGATGCTGAGAAAGAAAAAAACTGTGACCACAGTCAAGGATATTAATGAATGGGCACGAACTTAGCCCATGTGCATACTGAAGTATGGAGGGCGGGAGAAACAGTGACTCGCTGTTCCGCAGGGGCTGTTGGCTTACTCTCCAATGTGGTGGTGGTGGTGTTTCTTTGTTTGTTTTTAACATTTTTGGGTTTAGTACTTTATAATGCATATTTTGAATTCAAAAATGAATTATAGAGTGGCTATGTCAGAGGAACTGAGGGTCTTTGGGCTTTTTTTTTTTTTTTAAGAATTGCAGACTCAACTCTGAAATTGCTGCTTACATATTTCCTTCAGAAATAATGAGCTCCCGTGACAGTGACTTTGAATGTGTCTTTAACACACTTGACTTAATAAGATCCCTTTTCTGGAGCATATAGAATGTTCCCCAGAGATGGAATGTCACCATTAGGGTGTCTAATGTCCTAAAAGGGCTAATTATTTCCCCTAAAACATTACAACAAACTCATTACTGTAAGGACAACCCCATGAACTCTTTAAAAAATGAAGAAAATGACAGCACCGAGAAGGTAATTTGTCCTACTCTCTGGGGTAATAAATGACATTCAGAGTTAGAATCCTTTGACAATCAAATATTTTTTAAAACTTTTTTTTTTACTACACTTTCAGTTCTGGGATACATGTGCAGAACGTGCAGGTTTGTTACATAGGTATAACGTGTGCCATGATGGTTTGCTACACCCATTAGCCCATCATCTAGGTTTTAAGCCCTGAATGCATTAGGTATTTCTTCTAACGCTATCCCTCCCCTTGCCCCCCACCCACTGACAGGCCTCAGTGTGTGATGTTCCCCTCCTTGTAAAGGACATGAACTCATTTTTTTTAATGGCTGCATAGTATTCCTTGGTGTATATGTGCCACATTTTCTTTATCCAGCCTATCATTGATGGGCATTTGGGTTGGTTCCAAGTCTTTGCTATTGTAAATAGTGCTGCAATAAATAAGCATGTGCATGTGTCTTTGTAGTAGAATGATTTATAATAGTTTGGGTGTATACCCAGTAATGGGATTGCTGGGTCAAATGGAATTTCTGGTTCTAGATCCTTGAGGAATTGCCATACTGTTTCCACAATGGCTGAACTAATTTACACTCCCACCAACAGCGTAAAAGCGTTCTTATTTCTCCACATCCTCTCCAGCATCTGTTGTTTCCTGACATTTTAATGATCGCCCTTCTAACTGGTGTGAGATGATATCTCATTGTGATTTTGATTTGTATTTCTCTAATGACCAGTGATGATGAGCTTCTTATGTTTGTTGGCCGCATAAATGTCTTCTTTTGAGAAGTGTCTGTTCATATCCTTTGCCCACTTTCGGATGGGGTTGTTTGTTTTCTTCTTGTAAATTTAAGTTCCTTGTAGATTCTGGATATTAGACCTCTGTCAGATGGATAGATTACAAAAATTTTCTCCCATTCTCTAAGTTGCCTGTTCACTCTGATGATAGTTTCTTTTGCTGTGCAGAAGCTCTTTAATTAGATCCCACTTGTCAATTTTGGCTTTTGTTGCAATTGCTTTTGGTGTTTTAGTCATGAAGTCTTTGCCCATGCCTATGTCCTGAATGGTATTGCCTAGGTTTTCTTCTAGGGCTTTTATGGTTTTAGGTCTTAAGTTTAAGTCTTTAATCTATCTTGAGTTAATTTCTGTGTAAGGTGTAAGGAAGGGGTCCAGTTTCAGTTTTCTGCATATGGCTAGTCAGTTTTCCCAACATCGTTTATTAAATAGGGAATCCTTTCCCATTCCTTGTTTTTGTCAAGTTTGTCAAAGATCAGGTGGTTGTAGATGTGTGGTGTTATTTCTAAGGCCTCTGTTCTGTTCCATTGGTCTATATATCTGTTTTGGTGCCAGTACCATGTTGTTTTGGTTACCATAGCCTTGTAGTATAGTTTGAAGTCTGGTAGCATGATCTTTGTTCTTTTTGCTTAGGATTGTCTTGGCTATATGGGCTTGTTTTTGGTTCCATATGAAATTTAAAGTAGTTTTTTTCTAATTCTGTGAAGAAAGTCAATGGTAGCTTGATGGGAATAGCAGTGAATCTATAAATTACTTTGGGCAGTATGGCTATTTTCACAATATTGATTCTTCCTATCCATGAGCATGGAATGTTTTTCCATTTGTGTGTGTCCTCCCTTATTTCCTTGAGTAGTGATTTGTAGTTCTCCTTGAAGAGGTCCTTCACATCCCTTGTAAGTTGGATTCCTAGGGATTTTACTCTCTTTGTAGCAATTTTGAATTGGAGTTCACTCATGATTTGGCTGTCTGTCTATTATTGGTGTATAGAAATGCTTGTGGTTTTTCACATTGATTTTGTATCCTGAGAATTTGCTGAAGTTGCTTATCAGTTTAAGGAGTTTTTTGGCTGAGATGATGGGGTTTTCTAAATATACAATCATGTCATCTGCAAACAGAGACAATTTGACTTCCTCTTTTCCTATTTGAATACCCTTTATTTCTTTCTCTTGCCTGATTGCCCTGGTCAGAACTTCTAATACTATGTCGCATAATAGTGCTGAGAGAGGGCATACTTGTTCTGTGCTGGTTTTCAAAGGGAATGCTTCCAGCTTTTGCCCATTCAGTATAATATTGGCTATAGGTTTGTCATAAATAGCTCTAGTTTATTGAGTGTTTTAAGCATGAAGGGTGCTGAATTTTATTGAAGGCCTTTTCTGCATCTATTGAGATAATTATGTGGTTTTTGTCATTGGCTCTGTTTATGTGATGGATTACGTTTATTGATTTGCATATGTTGAACTAGCCTTGCATCCCAGGGATGAAGCTGACTTGATCATGCTGGATAAGCTTTTTGGTGTGCTGCTGGATTCGGTTTGCCAGTATTTTATTGAGAATTTTCACATAGATGTTCATCAGGGATAGTGGCCTGAAATTTTCTTTTTTTGTTGTATCTCTGCCAGGTTTTGGTATCAGAATGATGCTGTCCTCATAAAATGAGTTAGGGAGGAGTCCCTCTTTTTGTATTCTTTGGAATAGTTTCCCAAGGAATTGTACCAGCTCCTCTTTGTACCTCTGGTAGAATTCGGCTGTGAATCCATCTGGTCCTGGGCTTTTTTTTGGTTGGTAGGCTATTAATTACTGCCTCAATTTCAGAACTTGTTATTGGTCTATTCAGGGATTTGACTTCTTCCTAGTTTAGTCTTGGGAGGGTGTACGTATCCAGGAATTTATCCATTTCGTCTAGATTTTCTGGTTTATTTGCATAGAGGTGTTTATAGTAGTCTCTGATGGAAGTTTGTATTTCTGTGGGATCAGTAGTGACTTCCCCTTTATCGTTTTTTATTGTGTCTATTTAATTCTTCTCTATTTTCTTCTTTATTAGTCTGACTAGTGATCTATCTAGTTTGTTAGTCTTTTCAAAAAACCAGCCCCTGAAGTCACTGATTTTTTTGAAGGGTTTTTCATGTCTCTATCTCCTTCAGTTCTGCTCTGAACTTAGTTATTTCTTGTCTTCTGCTGGCTTTTGAATTTGTTTGCTCTTGTTTCTCTAGTTCTTTTAATTGTGATGTTAGGGTGTCAATTTTAGATCTTTCTTGCTTTCTGATGTGGGCATTTAGTGTTATAAATTTCCCTCTAAACACTGCTTTAGCTGTGTCCCAGAGATTCTGGTACACTGTGTCTTTGCTCTCATTGGTTTCAAATAACTTATTTATTTCTGCCTTAATTTCATTATTTACCCAGTAGTCATTCAGGACCAGGTTGTTCAGTTTCCATGTAGTTTTGTGGTTGTGAGTGAGTTTCTTAATCCTCAGTTCTAATATGATTGCACTGTGGTCTGAGAGACTGTTTGTTATGATTTCAGGTTTTTTTGTTTTGTTTTGTTGTTTTGTTTTTGTTTTTGCATTTGCTGAGGAGTGTTTACTTCCAATTATTTGGTCAGTTTTAGAATAAATGCTATGCAGTGCTGAGAAGAATGTATATTCTGTTGATGGACAATCAAATACTTTTCATTAACCAATCTGAGTAAGCCAATTTGAGTCCCTTCTATTGGCTTCCTCATTTAGTGAACTATTTAGAAAAGCCTCATGTCTCAGAGGGAAACGCAGATAGATGAAGAACGTTGAGCTCAGTAAATGCCTGTTTGGGGGAATGGGTCAGGTTGAAGGTCATTTTGTGATTAAAATCTGACCCAACCTTAAGATGACAACCTAGATGTCACTCTCTCCAGCAGTTCTTTCAAGGCATTTTGCGTGCTCCTCCCCACCCGAGGACTCTGTTAGTACCTGCCATGCGCCTTTGGACCTACTGCACGTGGATGATATGATTTCTCAAGGGCAGGGTGCAGGTGTGTATTGTTGGCCATGGAATACTGAGTACATAGCTAGGTACCTGGTACAGGAGAGCATCACACGTTTGTCGAATAAATGAGTTTTTAAATGACATTTATCAAAATGAAATTGCCGAGAGTCAGGAGGCCGCTAGATGATCTATAAATTAACATTGCAGAGTAACTTCTGTTGGGGGACGGAGCACCCAGAGAAGATCTAAAGAGGTTTATGGAAAGTTGCAAGGGCCGGAATTCACGCCCACTTCAAGTTTCTGTTTCTGACACTCCCGTTCTTTAAATCAGGCATTTCTGTTAAAGTGGAATTATAGTTAAGCAGGGAGCGGGGGCGTCATACCAAAGAGTAGCCACACCGAACAACTTCTGGCAGCTCTGATTTCTGATTTCTAGCAAAGTGGTTCTCTCAGCACACATTAGGAATATACCCTCCTTGTAAAAAATGATTAAGTACCATTTCAGGAAGGTCGTACAACAGGGCCTGGGAAAGGGACGATGTGCACAAGGACACATTCCTTTCTAAATAGACAGCTCAGGTCCAGGGGTGGGAGGAACGAAATGCAGCCACCAGCAGCGAGAAAGTGTCAGAGCAGGCCTTGGTCCACAGGGCAGCGCTCAGCCACGCTGTGCTGTGTCCAGCCCTCAGCCAGGCTGTGCTGTGTCCAGCCCTGGTCTGGTGTTTTGACTGGAGCCACTGCGCCCGGTCAAATTCATCCTTTAGGATTAGCTGTCCCCTGACTGAATCAGGAGATAGAGAGCTGTGCTTTACCAAGGCCTCTCTTAACCTTCCCAGGAAGGCAGTGGGATTTTCATCAAATCCCTGGTCAGTCATGGACAACTGAGTATAACTGAGAGGCTTGGTCCTAGTCCAGCATAAGCCTTCCATTATGCTCACCTGAAAGTGTCTCATCTTCCAGTCTTTCATCTCGTCATTGGGATCCCATGTAGGGTTGCCCCCTGCCCATCACTTATGGTCCAGACTCAAGACGTTCCTCCATAAAGTCAATCATTTTAGACTCAAACCGGCAACCCCTCCATGTGTGTGGAAAGCAAAAGCATTGCAGCAGGGCGCAGTGGCTCACGCCTGTAATCCCAGTACTCTGGGAGGCTGAGGAGGGTGGATCATTTGAGGCCAGGAGTTCAAGATCAGCCTGCTCAACATGGTGAAACCCCTCTACTAAAATACAAAAAAAAAAAAAAAAATTAGCTGGGAGTGGTGGTGCACACCTGTAATACCAGCCACTGAGGCAGGACAATCGCTTGAACCCGGAAGACAGAGGTGGCAGTGAGCTGAGATCACACCATTGCACTGCAGCCTGGGTGACAGAGTGAGACTGTGAAGAAAGA